GCTGACCTCTGCAGAGTGAGCTGCAGTACTAAATGGGAACCAAGATCTGGAAAATACCCACCTTTGCGGCAAATATTCTGTCAGGATGAACTTCATGCAGCCTCTCTTGTGCTTGCTCTGGTTTTGGGGTGGACTGTTAGCTCCTCCAAAGCAGGATTTCAATGTCTCTGGCTAGGGACCTGCAGAATAAGTCTGTCATCTTCTCATCCTGTTCCCTGTATAGAAATCCCAGCTTGCTGTATTTTGGCTGGGTGTAGTGATGTTCCCTGGGGAATGGCAGCAGCGGCAGATTAGTCATAAGTATCACTAACTGTGTGTTCAAAAAGACATCTAAGACCTGATTTTTTTTTTTTTTTAGAGCATCTAACCATCATACTGCTTATAACCTACTCAGTTACGGCTCCCGTTGGCTTGAATTACTGTTGCCTGTGCTTGGCACTTTCATTGCGGACCTCACTTCTTAAGTTAGCAGCTGAAATACAAGAAGAATGGTATCCAGCTAATTCTCTGAAAAGTTTTGGTTTAAGTTTTTTGCCTGGCATCTTGTAGGAACTCAGGTGTGATGGAGGTAGAAGTTACAGCTCTGCAGGAGTGTTCGCTGCGCTGCTGAGGCTGTTTCTTCTCTGTCCCTTTCTGCAAGGAGAAGGTGGGTTCTTTCATGACCCTGTCCTTCCCTGCACATTTCTCATTAACTTCTGGAGATGGTCCGTGCTGCACACTTGAAGCATAGGTTGAGGGAGAGGAGGGGTACGTGCTTGTGCATTCAAAGGTTGCTGGATTATCTGTGGAGCATTTGCTAGTGCTAATTCTGGCATCTCAGTCAGGGGGTGTAGTGTTAACCCTTTTACTGCTTATCAGCAAGACCCAATTTCCACATTTACTTCAAGGCCTTTGTCATTTGAGGTAATAGAAGAACTGATAGCAATGGGGATGTGGGTTTATATGAAGAGAGAGCTTGCTGTGCTAGTGAATTTTATCCATATTTGCTTATGGAGGGTTGTGGGTGCAGACCTTGCCTTGGCAGGAGCAGTGGTAGGCATGTGCCACTCATCTGTGGCTTCCTGGTGTCATGAACAATCTCTCATCATCTTCTCTCTTTCCTCAAATCCAGCCTTTCTTAAACTCTCATTATCTCATCCATTTCAAAACTGTTTATTGGTCATAGACTCCCCTTCCCCCTGCCCTCCCTCCCCACCCAGTTTGCTCTTGCTCTGAACTTCTATCTCCTCCTCCCAGATTCCTCATTCATATCTATCCCATCTCTCTTGTTGGCACTTTGTCCTAGTCTCAGTCTAAGAACCTTAACTCCTTCCCTGTCTCCGTATCTGACTGATATGCACCCTCATCTGTTTGGGTCTCTATACCTTCTGGGTTCCCCTTTGTAGCCCTCGGGATTCCTGATTTCCTTGTCAGACCCTCCGGTGCCTTTGGCAACTCAGAAGTAGCTTTTCCTCCTTTAGGGCATTTCAGCAGGCTCCGTTCCATCGTTTGTTTGCTTTCTTTTTTGGTTGGTTTGGTTGGTTTGTTTTGTTTTTTTTTTTTCTTTCACAAAAGAAGGGTTTTATTCTTTTACCTTCAAAGAGGAGAGCTTCTCCCTGTTCTGTGGAGGCCCAAAAGACTCTCTAGCAGGAGGCTCCATACTCTGTTCTCGTGTGGGGCTGCCATTACAGGAAGAATTGCTTTGCCTGTGAGCTGGAGCACGGGCTGTGTGTGGGTGCTGCGTGTAGCCACTCCAAGGGAATTTTTCTCATTAAATTCTAGGAAGTTTTGGGGCATATGTGAATTGCAAGTGCTTTTCTTTCCCCCAAGGTATGTAATTTAACCATATCTGGATGGATTGTGACAAAGAAAACGGAGCACTACATTTTTCATTGTCAAGTCACATTGAAATGAATTTCCCTGTTCTGCTGGGTGATGCTAGAGCTTTGTAAAGGTGGTGGTGGAGGAGGAAAGTGGGAATTTTTTAACTTGGGCAAATCTCATCTCTTCCAAACTGGATGAGCCATTTGAACTGAAATGTTCAGTAAACACAGCTGGAAGCAGCATCCAAAGTAGATTTGGGTAAAGTTGTAAGTCTCTGTTGGAATGGTCTCCTGGAAGGAAATGCTGGGTAACCCTCAGCTACCACTGCCAGTTTTACCTTGTGCTTGATTGCTGCCAGTATGTTCTCTCTGTGCTGTGAAATTAATGATATAGCAAACATACAAGACAACTTCTGTCCAAGCCTTACATTTCAGGTGGGATGGGGATTCCTGCAAGAATTGATATGGAAACTCATCCAGGTATAAGGGTGCTTGGCAGTGAACTTGATACTTGGTGAAATAGAGAAAGGAGAGTTGAAAAGAAGGTGGAATGGGAAATGAAAACTCAGGAGGCAAAAGGGAAGAATCACAGTGGGACTTAATGTGCAACCATCCTCCTTGCTAATGGTTCTGCTTTGGTTTTGAGCAAGTTTCAGTAGATGTCTCTTGGTCAACTGTAGAGTCATTGCAGGCTTTCTGTGTGTTACATGCAATTAGGGTCTAAAAACCATTTGCATACTTGGTGAAACATCTGTCCTGTTGCGTGTTGACAGACATTTCATCATAAATAACAAACTCCGAATTTGCATTAATGTGCATGATAGAATTTCCTATTAAAATAATAAAACAGTAATGGCACCTTCCAAGTCTGCTCTGTGGAACACAATAATTACACAGAGGCTTGTGCAGTAATGGGCGTAGTAGTCTCTGGAACTTTCTTTGCAATATGCCTACAATTAAAATATACCACGATTGTCATTTGATTTAACTAATTTGTAATGGAAATAACCTCCTGGAACAAGTCTCTTTCTTCAGGGAGTAACCACCCAAGTTTTACTGTGACTGTTCCAGTGACACCAGACGCAGGCTGGAATGCACTGTACCTTCTGCAATTACTATGATTCTTTGCTTTCTAGCTATGGGGTCTTGTTCATCACTGTTTTTGTCTACTCCAGGGAGAGACACCGGGGAGGGATTGCTCCTGGATTTCAGGTGGTACATCTGAATTCAGTGACAGTGGACAACCGCCTAGACAATCTGCGCCTAGTTCCTTGGGGTTGGAAACCCAAAGCTGAAGAAGTCTCTAGTAAACAAAGGTACATCAATATCTGGCAGGGGGTTGCCATCAAAAAACTTTAAAATACCTTAAACTGTTGTGTCTCCTTCCTTTAGTGATTTTTCATTTAGGCAGAGCCTTTTTTATTTGACCTTGGGCTACTTGCACATTGCTCTATGTCTTAGCTTCCTCACCTGGGGAACAGTTAAGGCCCACAGTTCATGCTAGCTGTGAAGGGACCATCTAAGCCCATGGTATTATGCAGGGGTCCTGCTGTGCCAGATGTTGTCACTGCAATAAAACAGTAAGCCTGCGGTCCCTTCCGCTTGAGTGGTGGCATCTGGGCACGCCAAATTCAGTCTGCAGATTTTACTGGCTTGTGGTTGTTGTCCTCAGGCACCGTAATTCTAACACAGCCTGTAGAAGCCAGCAGCTGCAAAATGCTTACACTTGTAATCATGTATTTGGGTTGAAAACAAAGTGAGTTGCTGGGATCAGCTTCCATCGCCTTTCACTTAGTAGGTTGTGGGAACTTCCTACACACTGGGTTGCACTAATGTTACTCAAAGCACATAAAACTTAATGTCCACATCAAACTCTTAATATCATGATGGATTTGTTTAATTTATTATATAGTGCAGGTGTGTTCATTTTTCGCGGGAGATCCATAGACTTAACATCACACTAGACCCTTTTCTGCAGCACCCATACGATAGGGATGTTCAGAGCGTATTAAACAGATTTTGAGGAGATGCAGTGTATACAATGATGCCATCCTAGTGTGTTTCTGGGAGTTCAAGAACAAGAAACAGACTTCAGGCCATTTACACAGAAATAATTTTGCTTGATGTAAATGGTTTTTGATAGATACTTCTTAACTTTGCATTTAGGCTAAAATAACCCTAAAAAGGTGCTCTATTTGAGGACCATGTGTAGTCTGATGCTTAACAGGCTAAATACAATGTTAACCCTACCTACTTTATTATTAATGAATTTAGAATCAATTTCCCTGTATGCTTATTATGAATTTATGGACCAAAATTTTACTTGTTTTTTTACAGGGAACAAAGTCTGTATTGGCTGGCAATCCAACAGCTTCCTACAGATCCTATAGAAGAGCAGTTTCCTGTACTGAATGTAACACGATATTACAACGCTAACGGGGATGTTGTGGAGGAGGAAGAGAACTCATGCACATATTACGAATGTCACTACCCCCCATGCACAATGATTGAAAAACAGGTGTGTTCAACAGAGCTGAAAGTAAGCATGTAATGACTCGGGCTACCACATGTGCCCAGGGATTTGTTCCTTAAAACGTAAAGCTTTACACGTGCCATTCAGGTGCTAAAAGTGGTAATTCTTCTTAACACGGGTTTTCTTTGGCATGAGTCTTCATCCCCTATGATAATTTTCAGTTTGAGAGAATATAGTTTTGACCTGGGACAATAAATCACCTAGTGGTTTACTGGGAGGAGTGTAGTTTCTGCTGAGTGTATGAAAAGGCAGGTGGAAGCATTCCTCTAGGGCCCCAGAGCTGGAATGAGTAAGCAGCTGTATTAGACAGGAGGGAAAAGCATTGTAAGAGGTTTTGGGCAGCGGTGAAATAAAAAAATAACATGCTTGACCTTTCTTGAGAAGAGGGTGGATTTGAGCGGCCTTTATTCAGGGGAGAACTGGTTCTAGTCCTTTGCTGTAGGTAGATGAAATGAAGCAAGTGTACTTAGTCAGCAAATGAGATGCCCGAGGGCTGTGCCTCTCTGTCAGACAGATGTCTTTATGAATAAGAAGGGCTTTTCTTGTGACAACAAATGCTGAGAAGGCCAAAATCATTGTGTTCCACCTTTTTCTTTGGGGAAGGGAACATTTTAAAAAAATGGTCTTAAATGCCCTCCGTTTGAAGAAGAGTGAACTTTGCCTTTTATTTGGGTCTGCATACAAAAGCTTCCTGGATAACCATAACTTTGGCAATGGCTGAGCTTGTGCAGCCCTACTGATCACTTCTGAATTTACAGTGCTTATACTTGTAAACAGAACTTAAGTTGGCAAAACAGTAGCAGTGTGAGAATAAATGTGAAGTGCTCAAATATTTTGTCTATTAAGCCCATAATATGGTTCTGCAAGAGCAACTGCAAAATCAACAAGTGGTTACTTCAAAACTTTGTGATACTCTGACACTAATGATGTTCATATTTGTGATAGGTGCAAAAAGCTTGATCATAAACCTGATGATCATGAACCTGGGAAATGATGTAGAGGTACCCCTTGGCACTGAGCAGGCTCACTAACGCTGTCTTGTGTTCTTCCTAGCTACGTGAATTCAACATTTGTGGCCGATGCCAGGTAGCGAGGTACTGTGGGTCACAATGCCAGCAAAAAGACTGGCCTGCTCACAAGAAACACTGTCGGGAGAAGAAACGGACCTTCCACCAAGAGCTCGGACCAGAACGATGACTGGGTGGCACAGGCCTCTTAGCAGCAGGATTCCTTCTCAAAGGCATTGGACTCTTGCTTTTGCACAGTAATAACAGACTGCTTATTGAAGCCAGAGGCACTGAAGAAGAAAAACCCTGTGATGCTTGAGCAGAATGGCTGACTGGACTAAGCCAGCTGTGACTGGTGCTGTGGAAAGGGATTGAGTCTACCCTTCCAGTATTATATTCTCAAGCGAAAAGACTACTGTGGAGGCTCCAGGCAGGAAGCTTCTCATTATTTATATGTTAATACGTTTGTAAACTCATGTACAGTTTTTGTTAGAAATTCTTGATAGGACTCATTAACTGTAATGTTCAGATAAGAACATGTTGTTGGCCTAAAAGTTTAAAAAAAAGGAAAAAAAAAAAAAGCTCATGTAGCAAAAGCTTTTCCTCCCATGTGGCTAGAAGTATCTGTGGCTGTGCCAGAAGGCAGGCTCCAACATCAGCAGTTACTCTGGAGAACTCTGCATGGAAGTTATATTTAAAAAAAAAAAGCAAACAAAGTAAAGGTTGCAATGAATCATTGTCTACTCTCTAGCTTTCTCCCGTTCCCTTCCAGCTGCTTTCAGAGCACAGTCACACTTGGACTGTGGCAATACCTACTCAGTAGGAACCAGCGCACCAGGAACTGGAGCGGAGTGTAGGGGACCATCTGGGATCTGTGCATACAGGCGAGCTATAGCATGTTGCTGCCTTCAGAGAAGGGCTGCTGGAGATTCCGATTTAAGCAACCAGTATTTTTAGAAAGCTGAATTAGCTTTCTGGTTATGAAACCTTTATATATAAAGTAGTTGTAGGGAAGCTCAGGTAGTCAGCTGTGTGTGGATGTGGTTGCCCTTGTGGCTTCCCCGTAAGCGTAGCAAATACTATAGTGATGTGCAGGTATGTTTAAATGATCTAGTATTTGGTAATTGGAGTTATTTATTCATTTTTTTGAAGAGATTCCATCAATCCAACAATCATTTTGATTTTTTTGTGTAGTAATGAGTAAAAATAATACGGGAGGAGGATTTGACTTGCAGAGTGCATGCCTGTTTTTCTTTTCAAACATTTTGTCATGTATAATCTGAAAGTTTTTTCTTTTTCATTTTTGCCTCAGAAATATAAGGAATAGCAACTGATTTCCCTGAAGAACTAAGTGGATAATCTAGTGCCAGGTGTTAGTCTTACTTCACAGCAGAAGAATGTGAGCTGCTGAATACTTAATACAGAGCCTTTCTTAGAGTGCTTAGTGAAATAGGTATTTAATTTTTTTTAAAGCCATTAAGAATATAATTTTTCAAATCGGGATTCACTTTGCCACTTCATGTTGCAACATTGGTCTTGCTTGTATTCAATTTGTTAGAAAAATCGAACTGCTGTGGACTTCCAATATTATATTAAGTTTCTAATACTGGCACAGGAAGTTCTTAATTTGGGTGGGTTTTCGTACTTTGGCTTTAAGCATCTTGGGGAAATAACAAAGAACTTCTGAAGCTTCCTGCTGGAAGTTCACTTCGTAAGCACGCTGTCAAGTTGCAACTCCTAATTCATGGTTATACTGTAACTTTTCTGTTTAGGCAGCCTAAAAGACCCTTAAGTATGAAGAAGTCAAGCAGGACCTAATGAAATTTTCCTGTAATGGGTGATACTTTTTTTTCAGGAAACACTCAATTATTTGCTTTAAATGAACTGTACAGTTTTTCAATATAAAATGGGATATAAGGAATATTTTTTTTATTCAAGGTAATCCATTGAAAAGGGTGGAAGTATTGACTTTTTTTCTTGCCTTTTTAAAAGGCTGCTATTTGTCATGCCAATTTTCCATTGTGTTGCCAGTAATCATGTTTAGCAAACTGAAGTGCAGTCTTGGAGCATTTAAACACTTCTGCAGCACTGAGCAGGGAAAATGGTCCTGGTTAGTCCTAACAGTTGTAATATTGCTGAAATGAGGACAAAGGTAGGCTGCAGAGGAAGTCCTGATGGGGCAACGGGTAGATTCCTCTTGAGCAGCAGATGAAGGGAATGAAGGAGGGGTGAGACTCGAGCTAAAGAGCCTGCAAAAATAGAATGGTGGGTGCTTATGGCAATCCTGAAACCAGTGACCGGTGAGGGAAGGGGACGGGATGGGAGGAAGGGGTGGGGAGGGAAGATGCCCACTAGGTTAGAGGTCTGTTAGACCATCAACCAAATGAAAAATAAGTTGCCTGGACATCCTGAAAGGGCTTGGTGAAATAACACAGGTACTGGTTTTATAGAGTGTAGCCTTTGACTCCAGACTCTCCTTGTGCCAGAGGAGGGAAGTGGCTACAGGGATTTTGACTTTTTAGGAGGGTCCCAAGGGGACTGCAGTAAGCATGTCACTGGGGAGGGGGGGGTGGGGGGTGGTGGTGTAGTTGTATGATCAATGATTCTGGCAGAAGATCTTTGTAACTTGGAGATCTTCCCTTTTTGTAAGGTGTGTCAGAAAGGAACCCGTTACGTGTGAACACGGCAGCTCTGCTTCATATAGCCTTTATGTTTTTTTCAGAGGATGAAGCTTTCTTGTAAAGGACCTCCTTTCCCCTCTTAAAAAAAACCCAGGCTGCCATGGATATCCTCATACGGGCAAGTACTGAAGAAAGCACAGGGTTAGAGTATGTGGTCACTTAGAGCAGGCCTGTGCAGTACTGGTAAATTAATGGGCTTTTCAAGGACTTACCCTGATGAAGATGCTCTCCATCTAAGATGTTTCCTGCACGGAGGGAAAAAAAAACCTGCATCTGTGTCTTACTCCTTGGTTCTCTGAAGCATGGAGTACTCTTTATGCACACCTCTGCTTCACCTGTGGACCAAAATAAGGCTTAATGAGTCAGGTTTCCTAGACAGGAACATCTGTTTGGAAGAGGAGCTCCAAAAGACAGACTTCTTGGGCTAAGAGTATGGGGGGGAGGGGAGGGAGAGGGGGAGAGAGAAAGAAAAAGAAAATGAGTGCAGTGGGTTGGGGTCAGGGTATTCTGCACCTCCACAGCCTGTTGTACAGCTATCTATCTCTAAGCTGTGATGCCTGTCAAGCTGCTTGAGGATCTGCTGATTTGTGTGCTTTTGGGAGACAGAATTTGGCTGTTAAGGCCAGTGCAATCCTGCTGGCTTGGATACGCCGCCCGCCGTGCTGCCATGTCTTTGTGAACACACGTGGCATCTTGTGCAGCTGATGAGGATGTCTGGACATGAGAGTTCCTGCTGGTGAATCACACTGGTTGATCCTGAGTCACCAGGAGTGGGTGAATAACTTGCTGGTGTAAGCCGCTTCCAGACCCTTTGGGAGAGTCTGGAGAAAGGTTTCTGTCACAGCTGCAAATGGCAAATCCAGCTCATGTCAGGAACCTGCTGTAACACAGGGGTGCACACACTGTGTAAATGCACCATGAACTATTGATGTTTCCCCCCTGGTACTCTCCTTCATATCAAAGTAGGGTGGTATTACCAATCCCAAACATTCAAAAGTCACAATTCAAACAGATAAAAATCATGGCTGGCTTAAGGAACACAAAATCTGAAATACAATGTATTGCAGGGCTCAGTGTTTACCTTTTAATATTTGAGCCCTTAATACACCCATAGGATTATACTTTCAAGTTTTCCTCTGTGGTGGTGATTTAATGAGACTGGTGAAGTTTTAAAGGGGTAGCTGAAAGACTTAAATGCTTGCAGGTGTCATGGAAACAGTGTTAAGACACCATGCCTAGGCTGGGAGCAAGTGTTTACCTCCCATCAAAACAGAATTGAGAGAGGGCAAAAGGAGGTTGGTGTGATTAAACAGCAGCGTGTGGGACGCCCAAAGACTAAGAAGAAATCCTTTATAAACTGGACTTGTGTCCAAATGTAGAAGATGGAAAGAATAAGATTTGGCAGGTGAAATGTGGGGAAAAAAGCAATCAAAAAAACCCAAACATAATGCAAAGGAGAATGGAGCATGAAGAATGTTCAAGTCAAAACTTGCACAAATAATTTTGAAAATATCAGGAGTAGGGATACTGCCAGTCAGTAGATGTGATGCACAGTAAAGGGAAGGTCTGACCTGAAGACCAAGTCCCAGCAGAAAAAAAAGTGAGTTGTTTGCAGATGTGTTTTGCTGTGAAAGAGCTGGGGGAGTTCACACAGGAATACCTCCATATGGAGAGCTCAACGGAGAATCTGTTTAAAACTGAAGTGCTTTTAGGAGAGATTAAAGTTCAGATGAAATGAGCAGTAACGAGTTGCCAGGACCAGACGGTGCCACTTATGGGCTCTAAGGCAGCTCAAGGATGAATAAGCTGAGCTACCAGCTGGGATGGTAACCTCTCCCTCAGCACCCATGGCAAATGTGACAACAGCTTCCAAAATGAGTTTCAGGGCAAATGTGGCAAACAACAGCCAGGTGAACACAGCACTGGCACTTAGCAAATTCGTAGACGCTATGATGTAGCATCAACGGCTAAGTATTGAGGAGCAGTCAATGCAGTTTTTGTATGAGGCAGTTGTGCTTCCAAACCCTATTGGAATTGTTTTAATGGCCTCAATAAGCAGGGGATAAAGGGGATTTGGTTGGTACAGTCTGCTTGAACTTCCAAAACACGTTTGACCATGACTTTGCTTAAGGCACTTAAAAAAAAAAAGCTGCTATGGGAAAAGGGGGAATGTCATTACGTGCACAACCAACTGTTTAAAAGGCACAGCTTTTTTTGGTGGAGGGAAGTCAACATTTGGATGCCCAATATATTAAAAAATAATTGGGAAAAAGTAATGGATCAGGAAGGTGACAAGATACACTGATGAGGTTATTCAGTGTAATAATAATAATAATTCTTATTATAATAAAGGCTGAGTGAAGAATTGCAGAAGGATCTTGTGGCACAGATAGGTACATTAAATTTAATGTCAATAAATGTAGTGTTGCTGATAGGAAAATATCAAAAGACAAGCCCTTACCTGACCGTTCTTGCTTAGCAATGAGACCTTTGAGTTGTGAAACACAGTCCTGCAGAAATTTCTGCTTGGGGAACAGCAGTGATGGCAGCAGCAAAGCAGGTTCAAGGAAACGACAGGAAAGCAGAGACCAGCACCATGGCATAAAAACTGACTGCGTGCCCACTCTGAGTGTGCAGTCCTCACCTTCAATCCCGGAGAGGACTGCGAGGAAAGAGGAAAGGCTCAGGACAGGGAACAGGATCCTTCCATGGTCTGGAACTGCTTCCCTGAAGGCACAGGTACACCGACCACATCTCTACCCTGGAAGAGAGATGAGTGACAGGGAGGATGCCAAGGGAGTACTCATGCTGGTTTTCTCCCCAACTAGCAGCTGCTGGGTTAAAACTGAGCAGCAGTCCTTCACCGAACACGCGTTTGAGCTGCAGACCCCTTTCCGCAGGACGCGGGGGGAAGGGGGGTGCTGGAAGGCTGAGCTTGGACAGCGCTTGGACGAGTTCATGGAAAAGAGCCCCATCCGGGGCGGTTAGGGATGAAGCTCAGCAAGTCCCCGAGTTGCTCGGGCCAACAAGCCCTGCTTGGGCCACGGGGCTCCTCTTCC